ACTTCCTTCTTCTGCTGGAGTTTTGCCAGGAGTTCCTTGCTCATCCATGCAGGTCTCCTGCCCGCTTTGCTGGACTTCTTCCTCAGAGGGATGCACTGATCCTGAGCCTGGAGGAAGTGACGCTTGAATATTAACCAGCTTTCTTGGACCCCTCTTCCTTCTAGGGCTCTACCCCAGGAGATTCCCCTAAGTAGGTCCCTGAAGAGGCCAAAGTCAGCTCTCCTTGAAGTCCAGCGTTGCAATCCTACTCATTGCCCTGCTCCCTCCTCGTAGGATCCTGAACTCCACCATCTCGTGGTCACTGCAGCCAAGGCTGCCTCCAGCCTTCACATCTCCAACTAGACCTTCTTTGTTCGTTAGTACAAGGTCTAGCATTGCACCTCTCCTCGTCGGCGTCTCCACCACCTGAGTCAAGAAATTATCATCAATGCTTTGCAGGAACCTCTTTGACTGTTTGTGCCTAGCTGTGCTGTCTTCCCAACAGATAGCAGGGTGGTTGAAGTGGTTGAAATCAACCTTTATGTGAAACACTAGTTGTGGAAAAAACATTTGGCAAGATTTGCAATAGTACTGTTTCATATTTCCATTTAAAAAGCTGCTTTTAAAAGCTTTTTCCTTTATTTGAAAACAAGAATGCTGACTGTGTAAAATGCATTTCTTCCTAGCTTCAAAAGATTTTTCTGAAAAACTTTTACGAGAGTTACATGTGGTTGTAACGTAGTGATACAAGTATTATGAAAACTAACAAATATAAAAGCTTTTTGCTTATTCCTTTTTTCCTTTCATTCGTGCATAGCAATCTGCAGTATTTGATATGCTGGATAAAATCAAACATGTTTAATTAGGAAAAATTTAATTTAGTAGTAAAAAAAAAAAATGTAGGTCATGATTATTATGAGAGGCTGTCTTGAAGAATAAGACTTTTTGTGTGCTGGATTTTAAGCTACTAATCAGAAACTATGTCCAGATCTAGTGCCAGTGCTATATTAAACATTAAAAATAATATATATTAAATTGAGAGACAAATACATTGCACATTGAGGTAGTTATCTTTTTAATTGATTTTAACTGAGTAGTTTGGTCTATTTACATAGAAATAGTTTGTAAAAATTTCCAGACTAGAAGTAGCTAAAATTGAAATGTTGAAGGTAAAAGAGGCTATGGGGGCATTCAAAATAAGCATCATATGAGTTTTAATAAACTGATCCGGAATTCAAGAATGTTAAGAGAAACAGTTAAACTTAAAAACATACACACACACACACACACACACACACGCCCCTTCAATTGTGACATCTTTTCTTGAGAAGCTGTGGACAGATATGAACTTTTCTGTTCATTCCTCAAGCAAACAGTTGCCTGTGCTGTTGGAGAACCAAGGCCTATATGATATGGAAGATAATATTAAAACATCTTAAGTTATCTTTGGTTTTAAATACATGTTCTGTGATGCCTAGTTGTTCATTTTGTTAATCTAATTCTTTTATTGTGGTCTGCTGATACCTGAATAACCAGAAGCTAATTTCAATTAAAAAAAAGGATTGATCAGGAAAATAACTGAAGCCATCGGTTTACTGCATATCTGAGAGCTCTTAAAATAACTTGTACCCCACAATTTTCCCTAAATAGAGAGTTAAGCTACCTCTTGTAAAGTTCAGTGCATGAACATAACATGTTTTGGGGGAGTTACTAAAGATTTGATAATTAACTTGAGTGCATCCTAACTTCTGGTAATTTGTTCATCTCTGAGAAATGACTTTCTCCTGTCTAGTTGTAGGCAAGAATAGTTTGGATGATGACTGTGTTGTTCTGTGCTGTTTATTTGCTGTTTTTGAGTTTCTAGAAGAACTTTTCAAATAACTTGATTTCTGATTCGTTTATTGTAAAGTATATATATTGTAAAGTATATATAAAATATATGCTTTATTTTCACAAGACTCAATAATAGCATGACTAGGAGTTGACTTGACATTTCATTCTAAGATTAATGCACAGCTTCCTGGAGCTTTTGTTCTTTTTTTCAAAAACTGAACAACATTCTCTTATGAATCGAGATCAGGCTAGTGGATAAGCCATTTACTATTGCCTTTCTTGTCCTCCTTTTCCTGACAGTAGAGTATACGTCATAAGAGCACTTTCAAATTAGCTATGAGTGAAATCAACTGGTTTAATTTAACCAGCCAGTTGTTTATAGGCTAATCTAGTTGAATCTACCTAATATGAATTAAGGATTACTCCCATGAATTGCCCTGTTGGTGGAGGGACCAGGGAAAGGGCTTTGGTAACAAGTCATTTTAGTTTACCTTGAAAGCTAGGGTGTCTCCCCCACCCCGCCATACTTCTCAAAGTGATGGTTTTTTTGTCCTTATATTCCTCTGCATATGAAGTAAGATTAACATAAATGGAGCTTTTGAGGTACAAAAGTTAAATTGTTTGGATAGCTTATGGATATCTGAACTCTCCCTATTATGTGTTTTAGACACAGTGTACAACTATGGCACTTTATAAAATGCGTATTTTTTTAATTTAATATGTTCTATTTGTTGCAGTCTATTTTGCTGTCTTCCTGAAAAAGCTCCTTGTGACTGTAAGGATTTTTCCTAGATGGGTTATCATACCTTATATAATCATATAAGATGTCTGCCTAGATCAGTAGAAAATAGTGATATATGCCATATTGGTGCTAGATTACTGTGAATGTCTGTATTTTTCAAATTGCAATTATTGTGAAAAAACGCTTTTGTCTTTAGAAATAAATATAATCTGTAGTACTAGCTGAATAATTCTAATTAATTTGATTGCAGTATCAAGTGCACAAGTGTCTGGACTTCAGAGCATAGTTGGAAATCATAAAAGTAGAAAAGGGAATGATTCTGAAAATTCTTCCACTGCTACTCTTGGGTAATGGCTTGATTTCTTATATTTTATTTAAGTTCTTAAATGTTCATAAGAAAGACACTTTTTTTTCTTGCTTTCAGGGGGGAGAAATCGCAAGAATTTGATGCTATTTTGAATTACCATAATCCTTTAAGACCACTAAACAAATCTAATCAGGTAGAATAAGCAACATCTTCGTTCAAAATCTTATACTTTTCTTTCTACTTTACATATCTGATAACTTCCGATTTGCCCTTAGGCCTGCCCTTTTGGGAGGGTTCCTGTTAAACTTGTAACTGATACTGCTGATGTTGTGAAGAAAGTGGATATTCCGCTTACAGCTAGTGTTATGAAGAGGTATGGTTTTGGGGTTTTACTGCAACATAACATGTTTTAGTTCTTCTTTTCAACAGAATGCTTTTATTAGATAGTGAGAATGTCAAGTGTTGAGAATGTTAATGACTATTTTTCATTAATAATCTTATCGTTACAGTAGGCATTGCTGTATCCCAGTTTCCATGTTACCACTCGGATTAATTGTATGAGAGCATACAAAGATCAGTTTCTTGTTCTGTCTAATCAGTAAAAGCTATAAAAGTAGGATAGATACTGAGACAAAAAATATATTTTGTTTAAAATAACTTTATGCTTGTGTACTCCAATCCCTAAAATTAGCCAGAAGGTGAACTTGTAATTTCAAAGATATTTCTAAATATGCACTTTTAACTGCAACGTTATAAACAATCTTTCATAATAGTTTCTGGACAAAATAACTGACTTTTATTAATCTCTATGTTAATTGTTATATTCAAGTGTTAATGATGCTTATTTCAGTGTGAGTAGCTGTTTACCAGTGGAAGAATCTGCCAACTTAAATAGCACTTTGCTACATATTACTCCTGATCTTAGTGTACCTTGAGAGTGAACAGAGATGACAATCTTTTTTTTTTCCTAATTCAGCCTTTGTTATACAACTTTCTTCCTCTTGTTACTGTGTGGAAAGATTCTTGCAGAAATGGGAAGCTTTGTTACTATAGGAGAGAAATATGTAGCTGAAGAGTAACTTTGTACTTAGCCTCTCAACAGCAAGTTTAAACTCCATGTTGTCAATCTGTGAAAGTAATGGGAGACCATATGCCACATAATAGCATTTTTATGCAAGTATTTAAATGTTTATTTTGAAAAACACCATTTGGGTTTAGGATCTTATCCCTAGCTCATCAGTTTTATGTCAAAGAAAGCCCATTAACTGTCTGTCACTTCATGGGATGATGTGGCATTGTTCTGGATTTTTGTGCTGTTTCTCACTTGGCTGTTGCAGTGCTCCTGTCTTTCTCTGTATCTGTAACCTGTAGCTAGAAGCTTTTACACAGATATTTTTCATCCAGCTCATGAAAGGCAAGCGTTTATTATATAGTGGCATGTGATGTAATTAACAATATTTTTTTAAATAGGCAACTATCTAGCTCAAAATCTACAGCCTTGGTTGCACCTTTTCCACTACCTGAACCGAAATCTAGTGGGGATGATTCGTATGACCTGGGAGATTTAAAGGTAGCTTAAATCTTTCTTATGTAAAATACAAGGAATTCAACCTATTAGAAAGGAAAAAGAGTAACAGCACTCTTTTTTCAGCTGTAATCTTGAGTTTTATCACAAGTGTTCTATTTCAGTGAAGTGCAGTTAGGTGGTCTGTGATGACTTTTGATAGAGACTGATTTTTTTGAACTGTCTTTCATTTTTATGTCCCATCCTCTCCTTTTCCCCCAGAAAGAAAATCCAAGGCTAGAAACAGTTAGATCTTTATTATAGAAACTGTATGCTGGAAATTCAGGGTGTTGATAGATTTAAAAGTTGAATCAATGTACAATTGTCTGTGTATCCTGCACTATACTGTGAAGCATACTTGCTTTGTGGTATATATCAGTCATTAATTATCCTAAGAAAATATATTTCAAATGTTATGCTGGGATTTTTTTTCTTGATTCTTTTTAAGATGCTTTTTGTTTTTAGTCCTTAGAAGACAGAAACTCTCTACAGTTGCGGATGTTGCATGAGGACAGCTTAGAAAGTGCTACAAGTTCAACTGCAACTCTCAAAACCAAAATGGATACGAGTCTTGCAACAAAAAGAGAAGGTGATGTTATTAATATGTAATGTTTTAGTAGTCTGAAACAGAATATTTGCTGTTCTGTATAAACTAATGCTTTGCTAAGGAAGATGTCCTTCAAAGTGAAAATTCTGGGGGGAATTTGGGAAGCATTTAATTAGTCTGATTATTGACTGGTGCCCGTGGAAGTGGTATCAAGAGACTGCAGTATTCAAAAGTCAAAGGTAGACAACCCATTTGTGAAGCGCTGGGCTTGAAGAAAGATGTGTAGGATTAATTCACTATGTCCCTACCTCTCGTCGAGTACGTAATATAAGTGGACCTTGAAATAGCAGCAATGCAAGGTTTCGAGTTAAGACTTGCCAGCCTGTGTGAAGAAAGATGCTGCCAGCCTATCAGATAATAGTGATAGTTCATACGAAAAAATGTGGATGTTGGCTGTGAGAAACTCTAAGAATTATAAAATTCTTGAAGTGTGGTCTCTTTAAATGTTTGATTAATTCTAAGTAGTAATTTTTCTTATAGACGCTGTGATTTTAACTTCTTTTGCAGTTTAATCTGAGATTGTTTTGGCTGAACTAAGTTTAAAAAGGTGACAGCATGACTTTGTCTAACTTGAAAAAAGGGAAAAGCTCCCTCAGTTCCTTGTGCATGCAGAATGTCAGCTGTTGCTTTCAGCTTACTCCCTGCTTTCTGCCCTGTTTACGTGCAACTGCTTTCTAGATATGTGGAGTTTGCTGCTGTTTACACATTGCGGGCAATTTCTTACAGTGGGATTGAACTTGATCTTTTAGCCTATTACTCTATTCTAAATTGCTCAGTGTTCACACAGCTGGATTAGTAGCCAGCTTCTTTGGCTAGGCTTCTCTAGTGTTCTCTTTATGCCATCCATTAGGTATCGATTGCCTTTGGTCAGCTTCACTGTCCCGTAGAACACTGGCATATACTTCACCTCTAACTGTTAAATTTATGTCACCCTGGGCATTTCTTTACTTGTTCTAATAAATTATTTTTCTCGTCTGAGTTGCACCTCAGCATTTGCACGCATCTTACTCTTTTGACAGAGTGTTCTTGCAAGTTTCTCTAATCTCACGGTTGCCTGATGAGGTTTTCCAAAAGTATAAAAATCCTTTGTCAAAAGGCAGTTTGCAACATTGCTTGCCCTTTTCTCCTGTGTCCTGCATAAAAACAAAAACAGAACCCCCCCCCACCAAATCATTTTCGCAACTCTTTCAGTATGCTTACTGTAATCCGGTTTATGAACTTGTACTGCAGAAATCCTTCGTTCACGTGAATGACATTTGTTTTAACTTTACTCTCTTTTTAGAGGCTTATCAAATTTCAGTGTCTGTCAAATAGTGTTGTATTTTTGATTACTGTAAATGCTTACTTCTTAAACAATATAGTCGTTTTAGCCTTTATTGTTCCATGTGCTCCTTGATTATCTGCAGTGATAGCACATGGTGATGCTTTTGTACAATTTTTAGACCTATTTAACACCTAAATATGAAAGAAAAATTGACTTTCACTATCACCTCAAAGGCTTCAATTCTTGCTGGAAAATACTTAATGTACTCCTTTAGAACATTTTTTTTTAATTATTCCAGAAATGGGCATATTTTGTATTCTATAATACTTGAGCAGAGCTTAGAGTACTTATCTAGTGCTTGGAGTGTACCAACTTTGCGTGAAGTTACCTCTCTACACAGAAGTAGCTTCACCCTTAATTTTTTTTTTAAATGGAAGAGAGAAACACGGGAGGAGAAACCTTAAATTATGGTCTGGATTATTTGTGCTCTTTCCCAGAAGGATATACAACAAATATTTTAGGGCTGGTAAATTTACAAGGCTTCTAGTCATGACTTCATACCAACATTGTTTATGGGCAATACGGGATAGTCTTCCAGTTTCTAACCCTTGCTTGACGTTTGTGTTTTACCAGAAATCTACTTTCCCAGCGAACTCTTTGCTTTCTCATTTTGCTGGAAAAAAGCAAGTGAACAGATGTCTGATCTTGCAAGGGTGGGATTTAGGATTATATACATATCTGCCTATTTTAGGAAAGAAAAAGATTAATACAAAGAGATGGTTTTCCAAATTCAGTCAGTCTTTCTATCTCTCTCTCCGTCTCCCTCTATCCCGCCATGAGAACCTTTCTAATTGACTTGAATAGGAACAGTTTGGGTTTTCGGTTATACTTTCACCCACTCATGCTTTAGTTCAAGCTCCTGGGTGAGATGATGCTTTCGGTACCTCAGTCCTTCGGTAGTTGAGTGGTACTCAACTTCTGCTTAGCATAGAATACTGCTTTCCAGTTGTTTGAAGAGGAAAACCTGAACAAGCACTCCAAGGAACACAAACTGCACTAACTGCAGCCTGCCCTGCTGTCTGCCACCAAATCAGTATCCTATTAAATCTGTAGGAGAGCTGAGAACCTGAGGATGCCATGTCCTTCATGGCTTTGGTATCAGTGATTGCAAAGGCTTCTGATAGGCATGCTCTGCTTCTCCAGACAAGTTGCCTATCGTCACAGACGAGACTTTAACAAGTGCTTTTTAAAATGGTTTACAACTCCTGAGGCTGTTCCAGGGTGATGTAGTACAGCTGATTAATATGATATTTCTGTGCATGTTGGTGAATAAAAAGACAGATGTGTCTTTTTGTTATAGTGATATCCTAAGATTTTGCAGAAGGAGCTGCTGTGTGACTACATTGAACTGAATATGGACCAAGAAGATTATTAAGACCTTTTAAGTGTCAGTTGCTGTAAAAGAGTACATTAAATCAACTGTATTCATTTATTTTGGTGTAGAAAATAAAGTAAACTTGTTTTAGAAGCTATGGGATAAATCTACCTGAAATGGTTTAAAGTATTAGAATATTAAGTGTGTGTGTTTTTATATGTATAAATAATGATAAATTACTTCAGAAAATAAAGTCCAGCACCAGGAACTGAAGATTCCAGAATCACAAGGTATGGAAAGCCAACAGCAACAATCCAGTTCTGCTGAAAGCTATAGAAAGCAAATAGATCGGATAAAACTGAGCTGTGTTAACTCCAGAAGAAAATGGCCAGTTCAAGAAATGACTCAGAAAAGCTGCTGTAAAGAGGTAAAGTAAGAAGGAACACTTGCTCAACATGAACATTTCATGTGTTCAACAGGAACATTTTCAACATATGTTGGAAAAGTGATTTCTGTGTTCTTGTGGCTCCTCATGTGGAATAATAGTTTGTTTTGCCCTCTATAGGGAAAACAGTCAAGTTTTGAACACTCTAGTCACCCGGTTTCAAAAGGATTATCACCGCCAGATGCTATTTTGAAGAAAAATGATCCATTGCATGTTTGTGGAACACCAAGCACCACATTTAATGACTATATGGACTGGTAAGCTATTTTTATTTAATCTATGTTGCTGAGGACAGAAGCTAACTGTGGCAATGACTTCAGCAATTTTTTACAAGGTTCTAAAGCTTTTTTGTTCAAATAGCAAAGAAGATTGCTGAGTGCTTTCAGCAGTTTGTCAGTTGCTCAACTTTAAGATTCAGTTTGCGTTTAGGGAACTTTTTTGCTTCCATGTCAGTGTTTCAGCATTTGGAAGTACAAAACCTAATCAATAAGTCACTGAGTTATTTGTCTGAATCCTACTATAGGGTACTTTTTTTTTCCAGATGCCATGTTTTTTATGGCTGTCAGACTTTTTACATTGATAACTGAGAATCGGTCTGGTTTCCATGATGTAAGTATCTGTGGGTTTACAAAAAAAAAGTATAAGGAATCTAGAGGCTTGCAGAATAAAGCACTCAAGTTAGGAAATGCTAACATTTGTTTATCCATGCAATCCTAAATGTGGCATAAATCCCTGTTCATATGTTGATAAGTATTTGATGATGTGATCACCTACTGTTTTGACAAGAATCTGGGGTGAATCATGTATATGAAGACACTATGATGAGTAAGTGCTGTTACAGTTAGTAGGACCTCTATTTCTGTAGCTGTAAAATTTAGAATATGTGTAGTGAATGAAGCACATGATCTCATGATGGAAGTTGATTAAGAAATATCCTCAAAATAGATTCTGTTCTTGCATCTTCCATGATTTGATAGTGTGGAAATTATTTGAAATCGAATTCGTTATACATAATATGTACTGCAAATGCTAAATGGGCAGAGTTGTTGAGTGCTTTTGCTGTGATCACTATAGCTGTACTTGGAACATACTGAAGGATTTAAAAAATCAAATTTTTTATTACTTTATTCCCTACAAAAAAAGAAAATTCCGATGTGTATTAAATTCTTTTCTAGCTTTGGCCTTAATATGTATCAATTTATTGTCTGTAAATACTGGTATGGTATTTTGGCCTAGGTTGCTTTGAACATAAATGCATTCGTGATTCTGAAGCACAAAGTTAATATTGTAAGAGCCTTGTATAGTTTATGAGAGGCTAATAGCTTTATATTCAACGCAAGGTTAAAGTAGTTTGTAATAACTGGCACCATCAGCATAACTTTTTAAAATCTTCTTTTAAATACTTGTTTGAGGTGTGACTTGTCCTGTGCCCTTAATGAGGGGAGCAGTACAAAAATGTATGTTTGGCAATATTACTAAATGTATTCCAGAGGCATCAAGGGAACAAGTTAAAAAGCATGAATACATTAATAAACTTACCTATTTAACCCTTTCTTGCAATCTTAATATTCTTCAATATAGTTCTACTTCCTGGTGACATGCAGAGTAGCTAAGGCTCTCAAAAATTCTCATGACTGCCAGAAGTTGTTTGTCTCAATACACTCTCTTCAAAAAGAAAAAAATCCCTGTTCATCCAAAAAGATGAAGAAAATGGCCATCCTTTTTTGTATAAAAAGCACTAAATATTAACTATGGCTCTGATTGTGTTGCTATTTTATGGGCAGCATTTTTAGTTGTACAGTGCTTTCATTTTCCAGTTTGTATGGAGTGCCAGTCCCAGAAGGAGAGTTGATTAGTTGTTGTTTTAAGAAATATATCCTAAGTATTTTATAGTTCAAGCCTACTTCTAAGGACCTCAAAGTCAACAAGTTAAAGAGTACTTCAGGGTTTTTATGCATGTGCAATACTGATGGTGTTAACAATAAGTATTTAATACAGCAGAGGCCTGGGCTTCTGCTGGTTGATTGGGTAAACTCTTAAGTCTGAAGAAGGGCTAAAGGCTTCAGCTTTGTGTTAGAAAAATTTACTTGGGGGGAAAAAAAGGGAGCTAGATGCAGATTTTCTTTGTGTTTTTTTTTTTTTCCTAGTTTTAGAACACCACTTGTGAAGAATGACTTTCCACCAGGATGTCAAATTTCTACTCCATACAGCCAGTTGCCATATTTCCTACCCCACACTCCGGCAACTCCATTTCAAAATCAGATTGCCTTGCAGGTAACAATTTTAGGTTGTCTTATGCACTTAAAATCTTCTGTCAATTTTTTCAGATCCATATTTTCATTTAATCTTGGACACTTCTTTACTGCAAGTATTTTCTTTTAAATTTAGCTACAGTTGCCATTCATCTTTGGGTGAATAACGGAAAGTAGTCTGGCTGTTCTTTAAAGGAACCATTTCTTCATATGTATGGCTGGTTTTCAGCAAAATAAGTCAGCACTTCAAAAATAATTCAGTCCTGTCAAAACCACCAACCCTTTATCTCCAACATCTAGATGTTACTTTTCTCCAAAAAGAGAAATTGTATGTGTTAGAAAACCCAAGCATCTGAAGGAGGACAGAGAGTGAAGAGTTGTATTCCATCTCTCCATTCTGTTAGAGGTCACATATTTTGATGGGTTTGTAAAGACCTGAAATCATGTAAAAATGGGTTACCTTTTCGTTACACATTCTGGTAGGAATCTTACCAATTGTAGGTAAAACTGGGGAATGGGTGTAAGCTTCCTGTCAGAGGACTGATAATTCTTATGTCTGTTTTTATAGTCTGATGTAGCTACAACAGATAGGGACAGTGCAGAGTATTTCTGACTAGCAGACTTTCGTGCTGTGAAACCTATGTTCCAATACTTTGTCACTTCTGTACAGCTCTAAGCTATAGCTGCGTGTTGTGATTTAATGGCTATCATAGCTATTCTGGTTTCCTGCATTGTCTATAAAGAAAAAAGTGCCCTTAAGTAATGATCTTAGAAAGCCTTACTAAGGGATCTCCTCTTCTTGATATCCAATGTGAAGAGCATCAGTATCCTTTAGAGGAGTTCAGTGCTCTTACGTGCCAAGTGGCAAAGCATCTAGTCAAAAACATAGTCATCACAGGAGTATGTCAGAAGAGGATAGCTAGGTGCCTCCTTTCAGCTGGTATTAAAGATACTGACTCTTCATAGGTAGATAGCTATTTCGTTTATCCAAAATAGTTCAATATTTAGAGTCTGTATAACAAGAGGCAGGTTATGAGCCCTTCTTGGCCTGCAGAAATTTCAAACTCACTTCCTAGAATGATACGCTGACCACTAGAGTCCTAGGTAATCTGTTGTGATCACTTTGCACTCTTTCTGTTGAGTTGATGTTTAAAAGAAGGCAGGATGTGCAAGTGCAAAAGGAGGAAGAAAAATTCAGCACACTGGGAACAGATCTTTTACCTTGGAGAAAGTTCTAGATTCTGGATCTTGCTTTCAATGTGGTTATATATGTTTCACCTATTGACTTTTTAATGTGAATGAGTAAGTTGTATCTAGACAAGATGTCAATCTGGAACAGTATTTAAATTGTGGACTGCACTCAGGCCAGTTCTATGTCTGGTCTTAAAAGTCTGTTATTGCTTTCTGTTCAGTGGTTTCATCTAGGGTACTGTTACAAAACCACACATGGTTTCACTATCATTTGCAACTTGACTTTTTTCTGTGGTGATCACACCTGAAAGTTTTATTCTAGTGCTGAGCACGGTTGGAATATTTGCATAATTTGGATCATGTGGGAGACTGGCAGAGCATGGGCTCCATTCTCTTCTGAATTGCCATGGAGGATGGATATTGCCTGTCTCAACTCAGATGTTTATGAGCATGTGTGGTAGTCATAGTTAGGTGAGTGATAAAATAAAAATGTGAAACAAAAATAAAATGAAGTACCTCCGCAGGTGTGTCAGGCTTAATTAGTAGCTTTTGTTGGAATTACTGTCTTAAGCATAGGTAATTGCATCGGTTTTCAGGAGCACAGTAAGTGTTTTGGCGTGACATCTAGTCCCTGGTCTCTACAAAGTTTTGTAAGGCTTTTTCAAGGCCTATATTCAATGTATTGATAGACAAGCCTATGAAATTCCATAGATTTATTCATGTTACTTAGAAATCTTGTAATAGTCATTACAGAAATACTTTCACTATGGGGATTTCCAACTTTTAGTAGTCAAATATATTTAAAGTTTTACTTTTTCATACTCTACCTTGTTCAGAAGGACCGAGACAACTTGAAGCATGTTAGCTTAACAAGCAAGGCCCTACCAAGTTCCACTAAATGTGTGCCAAAAGTCATTTTCATTTTAACTTTTTTGTATTTCTACAGGCTTCAGCTTCTATATCTTCAAATGAATGCCTTGCCATCAAAGGAAAAGTATATACAATATTAAAGCAAATAGGTAGTGGAGGCTCAAGTAAGGTAAGATGCTTGTGTGTATGCTGTCTAGCCGCCTCTGCTCCCCATTTGTTTATTTGCGATTTTTGTCCTTCCAGACTAATTGGGTAACTCATGCTTGAGCTAATAATAACATGCACAAAGTGTTTGGCTGACTCAGAGAACGGGAATTTTACTGTATTAATTCTAAGCTTAGACTTGATGCCTTATTGATGCAGAGGAAGCTTAGTGCACAGATTACATTTGGTACAATGTTATTTTGTCTGTTTGAGACCTCAGCCTGCAAATAATAGTTGCTTGAATGTCCCTGCTTCAATCATGCTCTTCATAATAAAACATATGAGTGCATGATGTTAAATGGTAGTTCTCATTTTAGTGGGCAAACAAAGCAAAAACAGCAGACAAATACAGGGATCTGCATTAGAGTAAAAGGTAAATACAGAAGACTGAACAGAAATTACATAAATAGGAAAAGGTGATCACCAAACTCTGAGTATCTGAAAAGCATCATTTAGATCTGTAAATGATGGTGGGAGTCTACTTCCTTTTTTTTAATTTTGTTTCTTGCAGAAAGGCCTGAAGGTGGATTGTATGTACTTTTGAAGATAATTTCTAAGGTGCAGAGACTCTTAGTAAAATCAGTGCTTCTGGTATAAGAAATGACTGTGACATAACTGTGCCTCTTGTTTTAAGAGGCAGCCCTTTAATGCAGTGTGATCGTACTGCTGGGAATGGGTGGCTTGTAAGGTTGGTTGAAAGTTCTTGAGGTAGATGGACCGTGCCTGATTACTGAAGTCTTCTGCAACTTGTGTAGATTTTACAGTATATGTATACCCTAAGTTGTGAGTGGGCTTTTTTCTTTTAGGGCTTGAAAAGTAAGTTAGGTTAGGGAAGACCTGAAGGCCTATGTCCCTTGGTAAAAGTGATCCCAAGATGGTGTCTGATAGAAAGTTGTTTCTGTTGTAACTGCTGGCTTCTTTCATAGTTTTTCTTCATAATGGTTTGAAGTGTGGCTGGACTCAAAAGGCTGAATTTTAAGCAAATGTGAAAGTAGTTCTTTGTAAATTTAGTGTTGCTCCTTTGTTTTGAAAAGGCTCTTTTTCCCTTCAAAGTTCTGACTGTTGTGAGATGAAGGACTGAAGTAAATCAGAATTAGGAATGCATAAAGCTGTTAGTGCTGTTTTGCAGGTGTTTCAAGTATTGAATGAAAAGAAACAGTTGTATGCTGTCAAATATGTGAATCTAGAAGAAGCTGATCAACAGACTGTTGAGAGCTATAAGAATGAAATTGCTCATCTGAGTAAACTACAGCAACATAGTGATAAGATCATCCGTCTTTATGGCTAGTGAGTAAACACTGTTTCTTATTAAATGATTGTCTCTTGAAGTGTTCCTTAAAGCAATAGCTTTGAATTTTTAACGTAAGTGTTTGTTTATTTTTAGTGAGATTACTGAGCATCATATCTACATGATAATGGAGTGTGGAAATATTGATCTCAACAGCTGGCTCAAAAAGAAAAAAAACATTGATCCATTGGAGCGAAAGAGCTATTGGAAAAATATGTTGGAAGCTGTTCACACAATCCATGAATATGGTATTCTTAAATAATGTTATATTTGTATAGGTTATGTGGCAGAGACAATGAAGGTTTAAGTTTTGGAGGTGGTGCTGCTCTCGGTTCTGGTGTAAGCCTAGTGACCTTCTAAAATGGTATTCACTTTACTGTGACAAAAAGGCTTAAGCAAAATAAAAGACAAGTAGAGCTTGATGTAGAGATAAACCTGCTTTGATAACTCAAAGGGATCTCCCAGTATTGCTGTTGTACCACGCTTTTTGTTTCCTTGCGACTGCCAGAAAACCATATTTCTGTTTATTGACATTGCACATTCCCAGTACTGCTTGTTTCCCCCTTAGACTCAAATTTAAGCCACTTATCCTCTCCAGAGAAACACTGCTGTTTTAGGCCAGCTTCTACACGGCTCTATTTTCCTTCTCCTTTATTCTGGCGTAATTCCTCCCTCACATCTCCAGGCCTCCTTTCACCCTTATTCATGGGCTTGATGCGTGTGCATCTGTATTCTGTTTGTCTGTGTAATACAATGGAAAGAATGAAAAGATTGATGTGAAGAGGCTTGTATGATATAGAAGGGAGCACCTCCTCTTCTTTGTAGCATGAGAACCCTGGAACATTCAGTAGTGCAGAAAGACAGCAAAACCTAGCAAAAGAGTTCTTTCTTCCATACCTAAGAGACTCACTGCCCTGCATGTGATATGTCCTTGGAACAAAAACCTTTGTAAAATATAAAGGAGGACTGGTTGATTATATGGATAAGAATGGCCAAAATTGCTAGTTCGTTATGTAAGCAGGGTTTGGAAGAAGTCAAATTTATATAAAATCCTCACTGGAAGATGAGAATGGTACCTTTGAGATCAGGAAGCAGATAACATCAGACTAAGCGATATAAGTGTGTGGTGCTTTTTTTCCCCCTGTGAAGGACCTGCTTGGCTAATTACTTATGAAAAAGCTATAGGAGCAGACATGCTGTAGAACTGATCCAGAACAGTTGTTTAGTATGGCAGTGTTCCTGACAAGTAATGTTAAAACCACAACAAAATCTTTTATTCCCAACTGCTTTCTGCTCCCTAAAAAAGCAAAACAAAAAATACCCCAAAACTACGCACACAGGTTCCTAGAAGACGAAACTAGTTTGTTTTTTTGTTTTCTTCCTTTAATTGTATTTCTTAGAATCTGGCATCTATAGATAAGGACTGCTCTGAAGATGTCCAGATGATATGACGCAAACTTCTATTCTCTTCCCCTCCTCCCAGTTCTGGTCTTGGCTTTTCAGCTTTCTAATTTCGCACTGCTCTTTGGCCTTTTCTTCAGTCTGCTAACCTGATTTTTCTTAACGGCTTAAACAGTTGCAGAAAATTAACTTTGTGAAACAACACACTGTACTTTGTTTTATGTTTTCTTGTGAGAGAACGGGGAATTAAAGGACAGTGACAGCCCATGTCAGCAAAAAGAAAACTTAAAGAATCTGAAGCTAAAATGCTGACCTTTTTCAGTGCCTTGTTATGTGGCTGTGCACATACCGCATACAACTAGGTGGCATATCTATAGCTGGGAGAAACTGTGCAGCTCAAGTCTTTTGGAGCTGTGTCATGCTGTCTACAGATTTGAATAAGTAATATCTTACTGCTATAAACTCAGGTAAGTCTTAACTGTTTAAAAAGAAATGGAAATAACTTATATTTTTAAATGAAATCTGCAAAGATTAATTTTTTTTGGCTAGATGCAGTTGATACCTTCTCCTTGTGCAAGGCAGTAGAGAAAGTAAAGCAATTTAAAATAAAAAAGCTTAAAGTCGATCCAACTGACTGAAGTATTTTTTTTTTTTTATTTAAAGGTATTATTCACAGTGATCTGAAACCAGCAAACTTTCTGATAGTGGATGGGATGCTAAAACTGATTGACTTTGGCATTGCAAACCAAATGCAGCCAGATGTGACAAGCATTGTTAAAGATTCTCAGGTGAAATATATTTAGAAAGCTAAATTTTTTTGTGAAGCATTATAGTGTTTAATTATATTGATTATTGTAGCCCCTTAAAAATGAATACTGGAATTTTATGCTGAATTGTATGAATTATATAAGAATAACTAGAGGTCTCTGACAACCAGATATTTTACTTATGATACAGTACCTTTATAATCTCTCTTAAATACTCACCTTAGTGAGTAATAAAACAGTTATTATTAAACATGATACTTAGGGACCATACTCGCATATTTTTGACTCCTTAAATAAGGTATCTATAAAATGTGTAATTCCTTAATCTCCTTTGGCTGGCAACCTTTAACCACTTTATGTCCCCCTCCCCACCCCCTAAATGTATGCTTAACTTACCTCTCTTTAATTAAATACGATTTGGTAATCTGTGGGTTAAGATCTAACTTTTGAATTTGTTAGATGTTTTTTGTTAAACAGAACGACGATGACCTTCAGCCTTCATAGAGCCAAATTTCCAAAATGCTTTTCAGAGCTTTGAGACCAAGATCTAACTCCTTACCAACTGGAGTTAATTTAAGTTCATGCTTCATTTAAATATGGAATATTTTTACACTTCTATAACTAGGTTGGCACAATGAATTATATGCCTCCAGAAGCAATAAAAGATATGTCTTCCTATGGAGAGAATGGGAAATCTCGATCTAAGGTAATGTGTGATCTTTTTCTTCTCCTGTTCCCCTGCGTATTAAAAAGAAAGCAATTTTGACATATATCTTAAAACTTAGACTCTCTTCAAAATCTTCCACTGAAACTAGAATGTGATGAAATCCATTTTGCCAAGATAATGGTGGACAGAGGTTCCAGGCAAGGAATTTTTTTACTCTTCTTTCAACTACCTAAAAGCATTTTGCAACCAATATGTAGAAAAATAGAAGTGCTGAATTAATACTAGTGAAATTGAAAAAAAAGGCAGATGCACAGACTTTGGGGGTTGATAGTTTTTTTTGTTTTTTTTTAATCATTTCTAAGAGAAGCAGATTAGGACTAAACTATGCATAAAATGACTTTAAAATACATTTTCACTGAATAATATGAAAGTCTTTTACAGTGTTATCAGCGTGAATGGCAATGAATAGCAGCAACGGATCTGTAGTAGAGTATGTCATCGCATTCTGAGGTTCAGGTTTCGGCTTTATTACAAGCTGTATTTCATGGAGGTTACTGGTAGTGTAGTGGTACACTATGCTTTTCACAGTGAAAAGATTTTGCTGTATCTTTAAAAATGGCCATTCTCATTTCTTTTGGAAGCTTTTTGGCTGCAGATGCTTTGCCCCCAGGTTTCATGCTTAGTCATATCTGTTCAGTGCTTTTTTTGACTCATTTTAGAAAGATTCTTTGTAACTAACCTTGAAAGAGCCTTGATACAAGTGCCCCAGGCTTCTTTCCATTCCGACCTTTCCAGCCTAAAATATCCCTTTAGGAAGTACCACTTGTCCCTAACACAAACGATGCCTATCTGAATTCTGCATGTGAAGATGTCTGTAGTTCTGGCTGCCAGTGTCTCCTCTCTACATTGATGTGTGTAATAACCATGAACCTCAGCTCCTTCCCCACGTTGTACTGTGCCAGAAGTCTGGCAAAAGCATTAGTATTCCTCAGGTAACTACAGCTAGTGCAGCCTGTAATCAAAGATTTTGGCATTTCATCCAAGTTTTGATATCTAACTGCTTTTAAAGCAGAGTGATGTTGGAAAACAGACAGGTATCAGAAGCTGACTGTGAGCCTTTAGATCTAAATCTGATGATCAGTGTGAACGTAAGTCTTGGAGAAAGTCAACAGCTATGGTTCTGTGCTTTGCTTCTGAAGAAATGAAGAACAGACTGCTCTCCAAAAGGAAGTCCTACCTCTTTGTCTTTTCAGTCATGGGCTACAGTGGGGTGAAGATGCAGCCTTTCACGCACCTGAGTCTGTACTATGGCTAGTGTTACAAAACACTAGTCATAGTGTTGGGCCTAGGCTTTTGGGCACGTCAGTGACTAGCGAAGCTGTGCATCTCTGATAAGCCCTTCTTTTCAGGGCTGAAAATAACACCAGGCTAGAGGGGGCTGTTTCTGGGAGGTTCTTCCAGAGCCTACCCTGGATCATTCCTCAACTGCTTATTGATTTGCTGTTGTGCTGCGCATGCCCTTTTGTTTTGATTATTTTTTTTCCTGCCAAAAGGTACATAGCTGCATTTTAACTTTTTTTTCTCCCTTCCTTCTCCACCTCCCTCCAGGTAAGCAACCTTCTTTCTGTCATAAATCAGTGTTGGTTGCTTAAATTAAAAGATATGATGGTGGTGTCATTGTCACATTTTGAATCCTATAAGTGAGAGTCAGATTTCACAGGAAATGAGTGATACCTAATAAGGTATTTAAAAGACGATATAACAAAGATCTAGGATTTAGGGGCATATCTGAGTTGTTCTGTGTATCCTATACTCCTCTGTAGTATAGAGGTCTGTATCTTGTCCTCTTTCACTGTAACTTCACCAGAGCAAAGGAATGTGAATGAAGAGAAAGTACTGAAAGAAATCAATTTTGCACTGTCAGTCATATTTCAGTTAAGGGGTCGGTAGATTTGTAGAAACTTACCTAAGGTGTAAAAAATACCTATGTGTATGCACATGCATGTACACACTCGTAGGAGTGTGACTTTTTTAACAATTGAAAGGAAGAATCTTTCTCATCTGTTTAAATCCAGAACAGAATATTTCTTTCGGTTGTATAAATGAATTTGTATTTTTTTAAAGATGATACTTTTTGCCTTTACCATTTTTACCTTCAAATTTTTGTGTAGCACACGAAGTAAGGACTTGTTCCTGGAGCTCCACCTATCCTAGTGAAAGTCTAACTATTATATTGCAGAGTTAGGCTCCTTTTCTCTGTTCCCCAAAGCGTTATATTCTCTCTTAGAAGTTCTTCAGCTTCAGTAGAAGGAGTGGAAAGTCCTCCTGCAAAGAATAGCCCAGGTGTGGTAGTTGCAAAGTGGACCTGATTCAGTTAAAGCTTGAGGAATTTGAATTGTGGTTTCCCGCTTCTGGGTCATACCTGGTTTTCTACATATGTACGTTGATAGGATTGCTGCCCTGCCAAGTAAACCTGTTTAGAATTGACTGGTGTGCACATACTCAGGCTGAAACAAAGTGAGCAGCCTGACTGGCAAAAATGTTTGAGCACTGCAGGCAACAATCTTTTTCAAAACAGGTTCACTGATGTGGTGCTGCTATGCCCTTCCAGCTGGTGCTACTTCATTAACCTTTATTAATTTTTGAGCTACTTATGCCTTTGTGGTTTCTGGGCTAAATTAATTCAGTGTGCTTTTATTTGGATTCATCCATACACTTCCTAAATCAGAATCTTGCAGTTCAACTTGTTAAGAGCTAACTTTAATTAAAGTTAGCTGTTTAAGTATCTCTTCAGATCAGTTTAATTCATTAATAAAAATTCCTTACTGAATATTATTGAAGGAAGCCACATTACAGTACTATTCTGGTTGATAATGGCATACTGTCTTGGCCTTCATGTGTGATGGTTATGAAGACCTGTTATCCAGTATAAAATAGGCAGACTATTAAGTGAAATAGTTGTCATTTAATTGTACAGTCACTGGCTGAAGAGACAGTTCCAGAAGTAAGGAGTAATCTTAACTTTTTTTGGTTTTGTATTAGATAAGCCCCAAAAGCGATGTGTGGTCCTTAGGATGCATTTTATATTGTATGACATATGGAAGAACTCCATTTCAACACATAACAAATCCAATCAATAAACTACATGCTATCATTGATCCTAGTTATGAAATAGAGTTCCCGGATATTGCTGAGAAAGATCTTCAAGATGTGCTAAAGGTAACTATCTCAAGATTAATTTTGATTCAAATAATGGTAACCTCCTTAAACCTGATTTTCTTGAACTGAGTAAATGAGTTGTACTTCAGAAACTTGTTTCCTAGATGGTGTTCACTACTGCTTGTAGTAACAGGGCTTTTTCTAAAACAGGATGTACTGAAGCTAGAGCCACCTCTTATCTTTTCCATAATAAAAGTCTATTTTCAGTTTATTAGCAAATAACCCACGTTGCTTTAAGTATTTGCTTGTTTAACTGCTGTGGTTGAACAACCCAAAATAAATGAAGTAGCTTTTGTACTCTGTCCCTTTCTTCACCCTGTATAATTGCCTGCACTTGAGGCTTGGCCAATACCTTTTCTCAAGAGCCTGAGCTAAAGTGACTGTGCTGCTGAGCAGGGAACATAAACTGAAGTCTAGAATGCTTATTCCCTTAACTTTTAAATGTCTGCTTCACATCTGCTGGAGACTTCAATCAAATGTGCTGTCCTGGCTGCAGCTTAGGTGGATTTAGAGGTTGCAGTCTACTCCCGGCTCTTTGTCAGTAGCTTCTGAGATGTGTTACATAATTGAATGCATCATTCAGTCTTTTCAAAGCAGTATGTGGAGCAGCTACATATACAATTATGGCTAAAGATCTGACAGTAACAAAAACTAATGAAAGTGCTAACTCTTAACCCAGCGTTTCTTAGGCAAGACAGATGTCTAGACCTTGTTTCCTGTTCACTAGGCTCAGATTTCAGAGCATGTGTTTAACATCTCCATGCACTTATTTGTTCTTGCCTTCAGCTACAAGATAGATAAAGATTTTTCTCTTTCCTACCTGTCTCTTCATTAATCTTTCCAGGATTATCTGGACACAGACTGGGCAGAAAAGTGGAGCTGGTATGAATAAAGTATGAACTGGAACAAGTATGAATAGCAGTTGCATCAGTGATTTTGAAGTAGCTGGCTAATCATTATGATGTGAGAAATATGGTGAGGGAGAATTACGAAGGAAAAAGTAGGTCCAAGGAGAGTGTTGTTATAGCAGTAGTCTGTCCTTCTCTTTGCTCCTTGCCAGGTGAAGGGGAGCTGGTTGTGCTGACTGGACAAGAGGAGGAGAGGGAGTTGAGAGAATGCTTTTGCTCTGCATTGAAGATCTGAGCAGGAAAAAATATGGGGAATCTTACTAAGAAAAAGTGAGGGTTCCCTTGTCATGTCTAATCTTCTAGAACGTGAAGAGCAACTAAATTTACCTGAGATTAGGAAATTAACCATAGCTTAAGGTAGGCAGGGCTTCCGGTACATCTGCCCCAAGACTATGGTCATTGTTCATGAAGACAGTGGTGCAGATAATACGTTTGGACCTGACTTTAAGAAAATATGCCGAGAGCTGTGTAGACTAGACTTCCAGCTGTATATTCACTGAAGTACCTGTACTGAATGGTCAGAAGATTAACTAGAAAAGATTTTTTGTTATTAGACCAGCTTGTTCTTCTGGAACAGAGTGGTTATAATGGGACAAGTAGTTAAGTTCAAAGGGTGAAGCATGTGTTTTTGGTGATGAATTTAGTCTATTGTCCCTTTAAAAATGTATATGGGAGTGTTCTTGTCATGTGGACATTAGTAGGGCACATATCGTTGTTTTCCAAAGCTTAAGAGGTAAGGCAGTGTTTTCAGAGACACCCTCAGTACAGGGGTAAAGTTCCACTAATATATAGCAAGCATACAGCAGTTGTATGGTATAATAGGCTAAGTGTTTGAGAATACACAGATACTTGTGGCTTCTGTCATTAGTCAATATGAACCTGTATTTCACTAATCAAGAGGTGTTCGACTTTGCTGTTCACGAGCTCTGGTCTGTAAAGGGTGAGCATGAAGACTGAGTTGTTAATGTGCAGGTCCATCAGTCAGCAAAAATAAAACTGATTGTATTAAAGAGGTTATGTAATCTAGCTTTTCCTGAAGTTCAGCTTTAGTTTTGTTTCTATAAATAGTTTATAAGGTTTCTAAGAGTCATTTTTGTGTAATGTTAATTTTTTGGGCATACAAAATATTATCCATACAAATTTGCTACATAGGTAGAAGTGTGATTAAACCTAAGGATTATGATAGCATCTATAGAGTTTGCATTCATACATCCTTTTAAAAGATAAAGGAAGAATTAATGGGTCTGCCAGGAAAGACTGCTGTGCAAACTTGTTCATGTCACTTTTGCATCTGTTACTCGAGTAAAGCAGGATACCAAACTTTAGTCTGAAGAAAACTGTAATTGCATTGATTAGCAATTATCTGTTGTTATATTTTGAGGAGTTTATCTTTCTGAGTAAGTTGTTTGGCAGTAGGTCTTTATATATCCTAAATTTTACTTATTAGGAAAATTCTTGATTTTTTGTAAGCAAAGCATTTTTTCTCTTCCTCATTTTTTCTTTTGCAGCACTGTTTAATAAGAAACCCTAAACAAAGAATATCGGTCTCAGAGTTGCTGATACATCCCTATGTTCAAATTCAAACCCATTCTCAAACAGGTACATTTATTTAAAAGCATATTTATATTAGTGTTTATAAATCTATTTAAGAAAATAAATCCATTTTTAAGTGTACTTTCCAGTTGCTGGAATCATGATTTACTTTGGTACCTGTGCATGTTTTGGAAACAACTTCAGTATTTTAATTCTGAAATTATTAATTTCAAAACAGACTTTTTGTATAAATCTCACTAACTGCACTGCTAATTATACAGAATTATTTGCAACTTTAGCATAATCCTAAATTAACTGCAGGTGTTCCAAATGCAAAAGGAACAACAGAGGAAATGAAGCGTATCCTTGGCCAGCTTGTTGGCTTGAATTCTCCAAACTCTATTTCTAAGGCTGCTAGGGTAAGTAGATTATTTCTTTTATATTCTGTATGGTAATACAACATGTTCATAGGAAGAAAAACTAGGAAAAATGTATGATTGTGAAAGCTGAGTGGATACATATATCAGAGTTTTGATGACCGCTATAAAAACACAGTGCAGTTGTAGTACTTTCATTTGCAAGCCTGCAGGATCTCTGTATTCCATCCAGAATAGGAGGGGTTGGAAAGGGTGATTAGTAACCTTGATCTAGCTTTTTCTGTCGTCTCCACCTTCCGGGGTGTCTGTATGGCTTTATTTTTCCTTCATCTCTTCTCTGAAACAGACCTTTCAGTGTTGCTTTGCTTTTAAGCTGGCCAGAAGTCAGATATGGTAGTATTTCTTTTAATTTGAGAGTCATCACTTTGGAGAAATGACCAAAACTGTTAGGAGTGCAAGCTTTTGGACAGCTGTTTTTCTTATTCCCTGGAAGTTGCTAAGTTGTTAGTGCATCCCTATGTGTGAATTTGTCCCTGGATGCTGAGGTATGTTTGCCAGCCTCTCCATTTATTGCCTGTAGAATTTTGGTAACTTTTTACCAACTCCTTTCCTTCTACCTCTCTCTGGACTCAGATTCAGAAGAGATAATGGTGGTCAAAGACAGGACAAGTTGAGAACGAATGCAAAGCAGTTTTCAGGGATGGGGAAGCAAATTCAGGATGCCTCTTTCCTAAAGTGGTTTACTTTATTTACATTTATTTACATTTTTCTATTTAAGGAAAACTGTCTCTTAATTAGAAGAACTCAAAGACAAGGATCCTCTTTGCCTGAAAAAACCTTTGAGTGATTCTAGCTAATTTGCATTTTTTCCTTCCTTTATTGAGGTGATGGCAGTGTGGAAGGCTTCTGTCTCTTTCCCCCCCCCCCCCCCCCCCCCAGCCCCCCCCATAGAAATCCATGTAAACCCTGACTTTCATGACCTTTTTCCTAAAAGGTGACAACAATAATGATGTGTTTCAACTCAAAATTCTTGGGTATTCCTACTTCTGGCACCATGGGGATTTTTGGCAGCACTTCTGTCAGAAGTTTCTGTAAAACTCTTCTGTAGCAACTGGAATTAACACTAAAAGGAATTAATACACAGAAATCTCCCGTATTTCTCACTGAAGTTTGGTCTGTTTTATCTGTGTATAGTTCAATTCCTGAATATGCTCACTGCTAGTCAGACTTGGTTTTTTTTAAAGGGTATGAACAAGAGATTATCCTTTCACTTTACGGTATGGTTGTGATGTGGCTGTTTGTGATCACTGCTCTTCCTGACTTCCTCATATGAATCTTGCTCATACCGTATATGCAAATACCTCTTTCCTTCCATGCTGATGTTGCCACATCAGCGACAATTAAGAGTAATCTTGATTTTAAATCTCAAATTAGTTTGTTCTCTGTCAACCTATGAAGCTCTATACCTTTGTTTGTATTGTTTAATTGGTATTATATATTTTATTTTTAGGCACTACATTGTATTAGAACTAGTACTACTAAACTGGCTTTCTTAGATATGTCTTTATTTTATGATTTCTGAGATGAATTTTAGTGTGTACTTTGTAATGTTTAGGGGTAGGCCATGAGTTATTTCAATTGCTAACATTTGTTATAAAGTTTTAGTTTGAATCCATTTCTGAAGACAATTATGTTTGCCTGAATACCTATGTTTTTATTAACTTTCAGACTTTATATGAACAGTGCAGCAGTGGTAAAAGTCTTGATGTGTCTGCATTTGCAAAACTGGGAAGTCAAAAATCACGGACAACAAAATAACGTACTGCTGTTCAAGATGCAGCAGGGATGTCTCGTCTGTTCAAAAAGCATTTCGTGCTGCTAGTTTTTTTTAAAGGACACTCACAGCATAAAGTTCTCATTTTTTTTAAGTAAATATTCTTCAACTCTGCTGATAATGCTACATATATCATTAAAAAGAGAATTTAATTGAATGCTTTTCACTGTGCTGTCTGTTTTACTCTTTGCATGCCACTTGGACTGAATAGTGAAAATTGCTGGTTGGTGATTATGGTCTTTGTTACTACCAAGCACTACAGTGTTTGGATTACGAAGGCTTGTATGAGACTCTCCAAGCTCTTTTATCCCCCTGAAACTACCAGGAGTAGAGGGGGAGCTGTCCAAAACACCAATTGATGGACTCGAAAAACCTGCAAATATCTCTTGAAATGTCTGCTGTGACATGAACACAGAGAATGTCGTGCTGTTCTGTTCTTTGCCACTAAATATGACAAATAAATACCTTTTATGTCTGGTTTTGATCATAACTAGGAGCATAAGCACTCTTTCTATGGAAGTGATCGATTACAGTACCGGTAGATAAATGTAAATGTCATGCAGTTTTTGTTGCTTGTTGATAAGTGACGCGGTGAAAACATCAATACCATTCTGAAAAATAATACAAATAAAATGGCTTTTGTTCTATTAAAAATGCTGCTGCTTTGCAAATCCAATAAGCTTTTCAGATTTCTAAATAATAGAAGAATGAGATTCATTGTGGTCAGAAATCACTAATTAGGATTTTTAAAGGCTTTAATACTAAGCACTATTTAAATAAGATGCATTGAACATAGCAGGACAGACTTTTTACACATGATTCTGTTAGTGGTTTAAACAGGTTTTGTTGTCCCTGTGAGCTACAATTCTGATGCACATGTATGAATTTTAAATGTACTTCAATCATTGAGAAAGTAAGTTTAAATTTTTAATTTTTAATGTAAAAAATCTTGCCTTCAACTTCATGACAGCTGCCATGCTATCTTTAAATTCTGTGATTTAGAAGATATTTGTCAAGCTGTAGAATCTCTTTTCTGATCAAGCATTTGATTAGTGTAAACACTTGTTTTGCCCTTCTTTTGTAGTAGACCTGTATTTAAAGATGCCCAAATTGGCTCTGTCAGTGTACATCTGTGTGAACAGGATTTGGTAGGTTTCTTTTTGGTTTCTAAACATGAGATTTCAGCAATATCTTATGACCCAGTTGATTTCCGTGGCTTTCGTTTCCATCCTCTTTCAAAATTTAGAGGATCAAAAACCTGAACAACTTGGTGCTACTGGTTACTCTAAATGTGTAATAGTATGCTGGAATCTGTGGAGCCTCTGAAGAAGGGAGACAATGTAGTTTAGAAACTGCGTGACAGTTTCTTTATGTATCCAAGCACTGAAACAAATAGGTTGCCTAATAATTCTTTCAATCTGTCTTGGATGTTCAAGTTCAGAGCACCTCCTGTCATTTATGTGCTGTCTGGAGGATGGATTAGGTCAGTTGTCTGTGGAGGGAAAACTGGTCGTTCTTTCTGCTTGAGGCTTACTTAAGCCAACACCTCATCTTGCTGCCTTGGGAAGATGCAGCTGCAAAGCAGAGAAATTATTGCAAATGGCTCTGAGTGTTTTGTGCGTTATTCTAAGGATTTTGACATCATTCCTGAGAATTTTGTTCAGTTTGACCCTATCAAAGGGGAATTTGCATTGCATTTGACACATGTATTAGCATTGCTGAGATATATTTTCTTTGGTACCATCTGTTTGTCTAGGTAAACCTATACCTACATGAATAGGTATGTTCTATTATATATTTTATTTTCCTTTAGTGTTTACGGGCGAATCGCTCGAATGTCTTTACTGACATTCTCAGTTGAAAAAAAAATTACCTTTTATCTCTGGAAGATGTAACTTTTTCTGCAGGGTTTCCGTTCTGGGGCTGGCATATAGGCCGCAACTCTTCAGCTCAGAACACTTTTTTCAGAACTTTTTTCCATATGTGTATACTGTGCAGTAATAGCTTTATTGGTGTCACTCATGACACTGTCATGTCTTGATCTGAAAGTTGTAGCAGGCAGAAGAGCTAAAGAAACCTGTTCCTCAGCGGCAATATTGGAAGGGAGACCTTGTTTCAACGTGTGTTCCTGTTATCTTCACTGGATAAAGTTTAGCGTGGTTTATCTTAGTTTTTTGGTAACTTTATAGCACTGCAGGAACTGAAGAATGAGAGAAGAATCACACGTTATTTTTTGATAATGCGTGAAACTTAAGTATTGTTTTTTTCCAAACTTTAAAGACTTCAGTTTTTAAATGAAATGTTTTCAGAGCTTGCTAATACACTAAAATAGTACTTCTCAATTGATAGAATACTCTGTTTTAAATTCTCTCATATTCATTTAATTCTGTCATTCAAAGCAGCAAAACCAATTCTTTAAATTCAACAAAAATACCCTGTTCTTTAATGAAGAATTTTCATAATTGTAGCAGGCCTCTGCTTAATGTCTGTATTTCAAAACTCTAAACCCTCACCAGCTTCAGATGCCAGTTAGGACCATCCCCTGTGACAGAGCAACCGCATGTGGAAGAGTGTTAATTATTGTTCTGGGGTGTGGTGTTCCTGTGTGTTTGTGACCTGCCCTCCTCCTGTATTTCAGCTTACTGATTCTTTGGGATACTTAGGGAGAGTGATCCATAGTAGTACATACTCCTGATATTGGCTCTTCTCACCTCAGGCTGGTCTGGGAAGCACAGGGCAGGGAATGTGAGCTCACCCCAGTCCTGGAACACTGTAGGAACAGCACATCTCAGAGGACCCCTCCTTTGTTTATAAGGGCAATCTTGGAATGATAAACTTAAGTTTGTTGTTTATCTAATTGTCATTATATGAAACAGATTATGGAGTCTCAATTATAATCATCTATTGTGAGGGGGGGAAAAAGGGCTATTCCATATTTCTAGGAAAAAGTTCACAATTGGTTTTCCTTAATGGTGGTCTTTGTGTGTTTGTTTTTTTTAATATCCTAGAAATTAGTACTCCTTTGGAAGATGAGTGATATTTTGAGCATGATGAATAGCTATGCACATTGCCTCCTGCTCATCTCTTATACATAAAATTTTAGAATCGTAAAGCTTCAGCTTACTAACGTTCTGCACCTTTTGCATTCTAGGCATAGAAAATGAGACGCTATCTCTGGTTTTCTCTGGAGAGGTAAAAAGTATGAACTTAGAAAATTTATGAAGAAAACTTTCTTTCTTCTGCAGAAACACCTTTTTGCTATGAACAAAATGTCTTCCAGCTACTTTTCTAGCCTGGACTTTGAAATATTTCTGCATAATTATTCTACCATTATAACCACTATTTGCTATTTTGCTTTTTTGCTGCTTAATGTTGAATGAGCAGAAAAGCTGTGCTGCATGACTTAATTGTTCTTGAGTATGAGCTTTTTCAACCCTTCCTCTCATTCCAAGGACTGCTGAAGAACATGCAGGAATTAGAGTTGGCATGAGTGTGAGCTTATGAGAGGATAGCTGCAGCTGACGAGAAGCACTGGATTGTCATCAGTCATCCTTGTTTGAAATTTTCCATCGCAAATAAACGATTAATTTATACCCCTCACCTCAATCATATGATACAAGATATCTACCTTGTTTGTCAGCTGCCCCTTACTGTCCCTCAATCCATTCTGGTTTATTTCTGCTTTACAAACACCCTCCCTCTCCTGACATCGTGTTGGGATCTTAAAAATGTGTGTGAAGTACATCTTACTTAGTACCTTTAAAGGACAGAATCTTAATTCTTGAAAATATTGGGTAACACAGGTTGCTGCCGGAAGCTTTCTCAACATTGCAAAATACCCATTATGCATTATTGTCAGCTACCCTCAAGCCACAGTTCAGGACAATGTGTATGTATAAAGTGGGGAGAGAAGGTGGCTGACTAATCCAGATCATAGTATGTCTGTTCATAACCTCTGTTGTTGGATGGTAAAGCACTAAACCATCTAATATTGAGATATTGCAACTACACGAAGAGAAGGAAGATAAATGTGAATATTTCGGTAAGTCCCCATCAGTGTTCAAAAAATGGATTTGGATACTTGCATCCTGCATTAAATCTAATACTATGATCCAATAACCTTTACTTGGCAACTAATGCTAACAAATGCCTCATCACAGAAGGATGCCTTCCTTTAATATTTATGGGTGAGTATAGCATTGCTTAGCCTGTACAACTATATGTTAGCTTCTATTTTAATACAGTCAAAATTCAAAGACTAGGGGGAATAATGTTTGAAGTTTGAAGGCAGTTGTTGTTGTGTTCACACACAGAATTGAGCCCTTAACAAATGTGTGAAGAAAAGGAGGTTATTTCTTTCTTGCATGATCCTTTGTTCTCAAAATGCTTGCCCAAGGAATGAGAGCTGAGTCCTATCTCTGTGGCCCTGGAGGGTTCAAGCTCCTGTTTCTCACCAGGTCTTGGGGAAGGCAGTCTCCTCTCCTGCTGCTGAACACGTAGCTGGGCAGGAAGGGAATGGTAAAACCACTAACGCAAGAGAGAACATAGAGGGATATGACTTGATCTGAAGGTAAATGGTCATTAGATTACAGTTCCTCCTGGGAGTTTCTTCTTTCCTAAAGTACTGGATAGTAGTTTCATGCTAAATAAATAACTAATCCTGAGAACAGTGCTTAATATCCAAATAAAAATTAACTGAAATTAACATGAATTGTAGTCCACCTGTGCTTACTCATAGGCACCTCAGCAAGGACTATAGGCTAATTGTTACAGGTGACAGTGATGTGACAGAGATACAGCAAGAGCTGAAAATTAACTAGCGCTTTCTTCCCATTGTCTAGGTCCTCATATTGTCTTGCCCTGCTGTTCTGTCTGTTGCCCTGAATTCTCAGCAGCAAACATGAAAACAAATACTACTTTATTCATATTTGTATCTTGGACACCTTTTCAGGGCTAAGAGATAAGTTGTCCTGTTTCAACCAGCAATGATTGGCTAATACAAGAATATTCCCTTCCTGCCTAATACTTATATCCCCTCCAATCTCAGAATTTTCTGTAACCACTTGGCAAGATCACAAAGCCTGTCTGCTTGTCAGTAAGCTTGCAGAGGTGCCCTTGCTTGCTCACTTGTTCCGCACAAAGTAATTGAGATGAATCTTCTTGCAAGATAAAGGCTGTGTAGAATAGAGCAAGCAATGTATTGCGATTACCTATAGGATATCGAACTGTACACCTGTAGTGAAACAGGAGTCTTTATACTGCCTGCCCATATACTTTCATGGGTGTTGTTGATATGAAACCTGAGATAAAAATCTGACTCATCTCAATTCCTCACCTTGGTGGGTGGAATAGGCACAGCTAAACAGTGATGCAATTCCAAGACGCCAGCTCTAATGATTCAAGACGCCAGCTCTAATGAGATGAATTGCTAAAATCCAGGCAGCTTTTACAATAAGGGATGACTAGCTTAAGGGAGAATATTGATGCCAGTGTTCTGAACCCTTAAACACAAGGAAAAGGTCAATGTTTAAACATGATCAGCCCATTGATTTT